CCCCGCTTGGATCGGGGATATCACCCCATCGAAAGGCTGGGGCAGAATCCCGTCCTGCTGAGCCTCATTCCGGCGTGGCCTTCCTTGGGATCCTGCCTGGACATGCCAAGCCCGGGTGATAAATCAGCGCGGGCCGGGTGAAGGACTCCGTGCCCTGGGGAGGAGGAGGAGAAGGAAAAGCCGTAATTCCTCAGGATGCTCGATATTATCAAGTGCTAATGAGACCTGGATGGGGCTGAGGTGCTTTGCAGGCCATTATCCCAAATTAACCTGACAATGAAGCCGGGGAGCGGTGTCTGAAGGGCGGCCGGGGTGTGTATTGACTGTCTGGAGCCGGGAGAGACGAGCAGGATGTCCTCTGCCTCCCCTCTGGAGCACAAAGCAAGGGCCTTGCGTTTTCCAGAGGGAGTTTTCCATTGCGTTAACACAGAAATATGGAATGGTTTGGGCTGGAAGGGACCTTAAAGGTAATCCAGTCCCATCCCCTGCCACGGTCAGGGACACCTTCCACCAGCCCAGGTTGTTCCAAGCCTCATCCAGCCTGGCCTTGGACATGTTGAATCACCTCCTGGAGATGTTTGACAATCAGGAGCCAAAATAAAGTGACAGGGGTGGAGAGAATGGGGACAGTCTCCTCTGCAGGCCAGCGTTTGGGGTAACACCCTTCCAGGAAATTCCTATGTTTCCAAGTTGTCCTGTTCATCCCAGGCTTCTCCTGACACTGAGCTCTGGCAGGGGGATGTTTGAGGGTGGCCTTGCTCTTGTCACCTACAGCCAGGTCTCCCTGTGCTCTGTGACACCCTCAGAGTGCAGGGTGGTGCCATCCCCCCTGTCCTCATCCCGGTTTGGGTCTGTCAGTGGGACCCTGGGAGGTGCCAAGGATCCAGAAGGCAGCTTGGATCCCCCAGCAAACAGGGCAGACAGGGCTTTCCAAGAGCAAAGGACACCAGCACCTCTTTCTGGAGGTCCCTGAAGCTCCCTGAGACCTGGCTGATGGTGGGAGAGACAAGGCAGGGTGGCATCTTGGGACCAACTTCCAGGTGCTCCCCGTGCAAGGAGAACCCACAGTAATGACTGATAGCGAAAAAGTTGTTTTCCAAGGAATGTGATCCATGATCCTCCTTGGAGAAACCCCGTGCTCCTCTTTTCACTGGTGAATCCCCCTTCTCCTCTCCCTGGAAGATCCAGAGGGATCCAGCTTGGAAAGGGGCAAATGACCAGCTCGAGGAGCCACACGATTTGAAGATGTTCCTAATTGCCTACTGCTGTTTTATGGATCATTATTTATTATTACTATGGGTTGTTATTTATTACTACTATGGATTATTGTTTATTATTACTATGGATTATTGTTTATTATTACTATGGATTATTGTTTATAATTACTATGGATTATTATTACTATGGATTGTTGTTTATTATTACTATGGATTATCACAGCAGAAGCGGTTTAAAAAATACGACACGACGCCAAAAGCTAAATTTAGCGTTCAGAGTCCCATTTTTAAACGAAATTTAACTGTTTTAAGAATAAAAGACACGAGCTCGTCATTTCAGCCTCCTCGGGTTGGCGATGCCGGGCTTGTTATCCTAATGAGCGCGAGGAGACGCCTGTCTAATCACCACCCTGGATCCATCTTCTCCCAGATAGGATGCTCCCGATTCGGGAGGACTCACAGCCCGGGATTAGAGATGCACCAAATCCCCGTCACGTTTTCGCGTGTGCTCGCTGTGGGTTTTGGGGAAGTTTCCGCCCCCGCTGGGCCGGTTTTTGCGGCTGGAAGGAGGGATGGAAATGGAGCCGGGCTCTCCCCACCGACGGAGAGGAGAGGTGTGAAATTTCTCATGGGCAAACAAGTGAGAGCCGCGGGGTGCCCAGAGAAAGGGGGGGACAGAAAAGATGAAGGGGGGGAGCGAGGAGGAGAAGGGAAAGCAACAGCCAGGGAGGAACAAAAATCCCTAAAGCACCAACCTGGCTTGAAGAGCGGGGCGTTTTCTATGGGGGGATTGTAAAATGCGCTCTCTCTTTCCCCTTGGCAGGGGGGAAAAGGGCCCCCCCCTCTATCTGATAGTCATTAGCATCAATTAGCCCCGTTTGAAGTGGGCAACATCTTTGTCTCTTTGCAAAAAAAAGAAATAAAAAAACCTTTCAGGGAGCCCATAATAACATCTGGAGCGAGGGGAGGCTGAACTCAAGTTCCCCACTTTCATCTCTTGTCGAGGGACTTGGAATGTTAATGCAGCCTCATTCTTTAATGGAGTTATCAGGAAATGCTTTTCACCTCCTTCCCTTTGCTCAGGGGGGATGTTTACAAAGGGCTGGGGGCTTTTTTGGGGGGCTTTTTGGGTTGTTGTTTTGTTATTGGGATTTTTTTTTTTTTAACCCCTTGCCTAAGAAACTCCCCCTCCCCACCACCTTCCCCTCTTCTTTTCTAGGCGCTCGAAAACCAAAACTGGAATAAAATATAACTAAGAGAATATAGTGAATTAAAAAAAATAATTTAAAATGAAATGGAATAATTAAAATAAAATAACTATCGCTTAAAAAAAAAGAAAAAAAAAAAAGGAAAAAGGGTATCAGATCCCATCCTTTCATCTCTCCACCTCGGAGGGGCTGGAGCTGGTGCGGGTGGAGGGGTGGGGGGGGATCTGCTACTGGGTGCTACATTTCCCAAGTCATTACCAGCGAGTGAAAATTTCCAGCTTTCCCACCAAAATGCATTAGCTGAGCACACAGTACTAATGGGAAACAGGACGCGTCGTTAGGCAGCGGATTTGGCCGAGCGGGAGAAGGCCAAAGGGAAAAGCCGGCCCGCAGTTTTGCTGTTTGCCCATCCCGGCGGCTCCCCCTCCCTCCCTCCCTCCCTCCATCCATCCATCCCGGATCATCACCCCACAGCTCTCCCAGGATCCTGAAGGTGGATCTGCTCCTTTCATAACCGGAGCGGCTCCCACATCACTTCTCACGGGAATCACAGTCACGACTTATTATGAATTTATTATAATTTATTTAACAACCTTTTAATAAAACAACCCAAACCCCCGCCTAATGACACCCATATTCAATCCCACGCTCCCTCCGTGCCAGCAAAGCCGGGAGCTGTGAATCTCCAGGGATTTTTTTTTTTTTTTCCTCCCTGGTGGCTCTTTTTTTTTTTTTTTGGGGTTGGGGGAGAGGCTTCGGCACTTGCCCAGCTTTGAACGTGTGATTCCAATTAAGGCCGTGGTTCCACGGCGGCGGGATCGGGGCTGCCTGTTTGGATAAGGAGCAATAAAGCAGCAGCTGTATTTATCCACTTCTTTGGAAGCTCCTTTGGAAGACAGGATGCTAAAAGGCAGGGAAAGAAAAAAAAAAGTGTTTTAAAGGCAAACTTGAGGGACTCTTTTGTCTCCTGCGGGCATCCTCTTCCCTGAGGATCCCGTAGCCATCACCAGGGTGCTTCCTCACAAGTGGGATAATCCTGCCCGTGCATTCCCATCTTTTCCCATCTGCTTTGAAATGCTCCAAAAAGTGGAGATTTTTATAACAATTTCTATGGATTGGGCAGGGAAAAGAAATTTAAACGGCGTGAATCCCTCCCTAAGGCAGGATTTATGGGATATGGACTGGGAGCCTGTGCATGCAGAGATGGTTAATGTCTGGTTATTAAACCAGGGGGGATTTTTGCTCCGTGTTTATTAACCTGGAAGCTCTGGGATTTCTCCGTGTTTGCACGTGGAGGGAGTTTTCAGTGTGAATTTGGTGAGACCTGAGCGGGAATCACACCTGGGAGAGGTGTCTGTGCCATCCACAGCTCCCTGTTGGGCCATGCGGGTGCACTTGGGGGTGTCGAGCAGGGATGGCACCGAAACCAGTGCAGTTTTCACAGCACAGTCACCTCATGTCCTGTGAGAGCTCCTGAGACGCTCATCCCATATCCTAGACATACCTACACACTCCAGAATTCCTGGACAGGTACACACCGACACATTCCTCTGGGAACAGTGGCAGGATGGGCTGGTACTGCCAGTCCTGGGGTCTGTCCGTGCCATGTGGGGTGAGTGCCCTGAAGGAGTGTGGGCAGGGGATGGGGTGGGTGCTCCTGGGAGGCCTGGGGGTGTCACAGGGAATTTGGGAGTGGAGCAGGAGCTGTAGGTGTCCATGTGAGTGTCCATGGGGAAGGTGAGAGTCCCAGCAAGGTTTTGAGGGGGAAAGTTTGTGGCCATGAGGAAGGGAGGAGGTGGTGGAAGGAGCGAGTATCCATGTGGGGGTCTATCCAGAGTGGGTATGGTGTGGGTGTCCATGGAGTAGGAGAAGATGTCCATGGAGAAGGAGCAGGTATCAGTGTGGGGGTCTCTGGGGAAGGAGCACAGGTGTTTGTGGGGGAAGATACAGGCGGCCAGGTGAGTGACAGCAGAGGCGACAGCAGGGAAAGAGGGGTGTCCATGGGGGTGTCAGTGTGGAAGGAGGGGTGTCCGTGGAGGGGCTGGCAAGGAAGGAGAGGGGTGACTGTGGGGCTGTTGGCATGGAATTTGGGGTGTCCAAGGAGGGTTGCCCATGGAGGAACTTGGTGGAAGGAGGCGTGTTGGTGGGGAAGGAGAGGTGTCCATAAGGATGTTGGTGTGGAAGGAGGGGTGTCCATGGGGAAGAAGGGGTGTCCATGGAGAAGCCTGAAGGTAGAGAGGAGTGTTGGTGGGGAAGCAGAGGTGCCCGTGGGGGTGTCCATGGGGGTGTTGTGGGTTAGAGAGGGTGCCTGTGGGAAGAAAGGGTGTCCGTGTGGAAGCTGGGGTGTCCTTGGGGATATCGATGGGGAAGGAGAGATGTCGGTAGGGAAGCAGAAGTGTCGTGTGGGCGTCAGTAGGGAAGCAGGGGCGTCAGTGGAGGTGCCGCTGGAGGCCAGGGAGGTGTGGGCAGCGCCCTCCGCCCCCCCGGCGCCGCTTTGCATAGGAGCGCGGCTCGTCCCGGCCCCCCCGCCCTCCATAAAAGCCGGCGGGGCCGCGGCGGCCGCACCGGCCCGGCCATGCTGCAGAGCCCGCCGTGCCCCCGGCCTGGCCCGCCGCCCTCCAAGACCCCCTTCCACATCGAAGCGCTCCTCGCCCGGGACCCGCCGCGCCGCGGCCCCGCCGCCTCCATCGCATCCATCCCTTCCATCACCTCCATCCCGTCCATCCCGCCGCCCCCGCGCTGGCCCGCGGCGGGACCCGCTCCGGGAGCGGCAGCGGGATCGGCAGCAGGAACCGGCCCGGGAGCGGGGCTGGGGCCGCTGCCCGGCGGGTGGGGCTGGGGCTGGGGCTGGGGCGGTGCAGGTGAGCGGGGGGGGCCCGGCTGGGGCGGGGGGTGCGTGTTCGGGATGCGGAGCGGGGATGTTGCGGATGGAACGGGGATGCGGGGAAACCCTCGCGCAGGAGTCTCGGCTGGCAGTAGGGAAAGCGCGGAATAACCCCAAATCGCTTTATACCCCCCCCCATCTGCAGTTATAGTTTAATTCCCTGCAGTCTCTGGACCAGCGCCGAGGTGAAGCGTTGAGCTGGGGCTGTGGGAATTGGAGGAGGGAGAGGGAAAACTTTCCTTAGAGTTATTTTCCCCCTCTGTAAGTGATGGATATAGCGAGAGCAGAAATGAACATTTTAATCTGTTGTTTTGTTTTGGTTTGGTTTTTTTTTTTCCTTTTATGCTGCAAGGCAATTTCTAACAAGCCTGATTTCTCTTGATAAAGAGCCTGTGCTTAACTCCTAGAAGACGCTACAGGATTTTACTAATCCATCAGCCAGCCCCGAGTCGGAAACCCGTGTAGAATATCCAAACGCACTGTTTACATTTGAAATGGAGACATAAACCTGGCAGAATTTTAATAATAAATATAAAATGACAGAGCTAAAAAGTATATTCCAGTACCTGGTCTAGTGGAAGGTGTCCCTGCCCATGGCAGGGGCTTGGAAGTGGATGATCCTTAAGGTTCTTTCCCACCCAAACCTGTCTGTGATTCTGTGATATTCCAATTTATACCCAAGATTACATGTTTGGGTGCAGTGAGACCCCAGAGACACCATTTACATCCCTCCGGCTTGGAAGGTTTCAGGTTGGGAACAGTTTTCCCCGTGGCCACGTGTGCCCCCACCTGTATTTTACAAGAGTGGCTTCTACTTATCTTTTCACACTGGATTTTATTTCTCTTTTCATGTATCAGAAAGGCATTTCACTGCCTTTGTCTTCATCGCACCTCCAAAAACCTGCTGTAATCTCCCAAAGCCTCACCCCCAAAATTCATTTCTTACCTCTGCTGCTGCACGGGTCCTCCTTCTCCCAAAATTTGCCCTCATCCCTCCCTAATTTTGCTTTCCCTTCAATTTTTCATGCACAGAAGTGAAAATGTAGAGTGTCTGGGAGCATCTGGCCCTAAAACTTCATATTTTTAGCGCAAAAGCATTTAAGGATAAAGGTTTTATTGTTCTGTGGGTAAAATTTGCACAGTGGTGTTGGGTGATACTGGCTGATCCATCAGCCTCTATTTTCACTGTAACTTTATAAGCAAACTGACTACTTTAACAAAATGCCTCCGTTCAGAATATTTTTTCATGAAATTATTTAGTTTTTTTTAACATTCAGAGTGTAAGCTTGCTGTTGTCCAGGCAAAACCTGCAGCCAGGCCTGCATTTTCTGCGTGCAAGGAACTCCTGATTTTGGTCTTGATTCTAAAATATTTAGACACCTAAAATATTTTAAATTTTTTTTTTTTTTTTACCTATTTACCATAACTATTTAATATATTATTTCTTTCACGAGGCAGCATGTGCACAATTGCGTTAATCT